CAACTTGCAGAGATGGTTCGAATTTGGACGGACCAAGCGATGCCTGTGACGTCAGCGGTTTGCAATCGAAAACGGTTGGTTCTAATTTGGTTGGCCTCGAAGACGGACCAAAGCGAATCGAAAACAGCCAAAGACATATTGACTACGTTTATTTCACACGTTCTATCCGGATACTAAGTGGATTGGATTAATAATGGAGATTAATAATCCTGAAATAAACACCCAGGATTAATCAGTTTATCCGGATCGGATACCTACTTAATCCGATCCTCCAAGTTTGTAGGATTGGACTTAAAATAGATTATCTCAAATGTGAAATAAGCACTCCAAATCTCGGATTTAAGAAGTTTGTTGCTAACTTCAAGAAAAAGAGACCTAAACCTAATAGAAAGTGTATCAGCTGATTGGCTTTAATGAAGTTAGACACAAGGCAATTTGGGCTTGCGCTTTTGACAAGGCTTAAGAAAGGATTAGCACTAATCTTAATCCATTTGATAGTGAAATAAACGAATATGGATTAATAATCCTTAATCCACTTAATATCCGGATACAACGCATGAAATAAACGTAGTCATTATGTCCTAAGAATTCATATTCTCGCATAAATTTTACGTATTGATGTTTCAAACTTTAATTTTTTCTAAGACGCGTTTCTGAACTTTTAAATCTTTTCAAAGCGGTAATTTTAGAGTCTCCTAGTTCATTTTCGGAGTTTTCGTTGAAAGGATACCTTACTATAAATCTAGCATCATCATTTCTTTTCGTCGTTTCTATGAAAAAGTTCTCACAATACTGTTTCTTTTTTTGATAGTAGTTTTTCTGTCTCGATTGCTTCTATCTGCTAAAACTTCGTTAAATTATCGTGTAATGTTTTATTTGTAATTTTTGCAGTTGAATTGCACACGGTTTTTTGACTTTCATACTCGTTTAATTGTAAATTACCAGCGAATATCCACCCGAGAGAGTTTTTTTGTAAAATGGGCATGTTATTTCGCAACTCTAGTTCTCATCTTCAAGTAGTTCAAAAAATATACCTGCACCTAACAATAAATCAATGTTTTTCGGTATATTGAACTTTTCGTCTGCTAATTCAATATTTTGTGGATATTTTAAAAGGGAGTTATCAAATTTGAACAAAGGTAATTTTTCAGTTGTTTTGCGTAAAACTAAAAAGCTTAAATCCTTTTTGAAAATAGAATTTTTTGATTTTATGTTTGGATTAGTTTGATAATTGATTTTCGATTCGATTTGACTGATTCCATATAAAAGTATATTTATTTTTTGTAAACTCAAATAAAGTTTCATACATAAAGATTCACTAATAATGTTTGAATGGCTCCTCGAGTCAAGTAATGCGCTACATTTATGCCAATCACCATTATCGCTTTCGATTAGAACAGTTGCAGTTGCAGTTCTTTCTGAATAATTTCTGACGGCTGCGTAGGCAAGAGAGCTTGGAAAGAATGCGAGGCGCGCACTACCTCGTTGGCATTGTCAGTCCTGCTACTCTTGGCAGTCTTTGCAGTATTGACACGACAATCACGGGAGTCCTGGTGCACCTCGACCTCGACCTCGTTTTGTTGCGACGGCAGCACTTCTCTGTCTGACGTGTAGTTGCTCAAAATTCGTTCTTTATTATTTTGAAAATTGGACTGTTCAAAATGTAAAAAGTATTATGTTTCAGATTACATTTTTTGCAACCACTCGACAAGCAATGGGCCACTTGCACGTGCCGGGAATATGGAATTAGAATGACTAAAAGAATAATTTAAATATGTTTTTGAAAAATGTGAAAGTGGCCCATTGTCTTTCATATGTCCGAGCCTTAAACAATTACTGCATGATTTATTTTTCTCTATTTCATATTTTTAGTTAATTGATAAATTGCGAAACTTTGAACAATGATAAATGAAATGATTCTCGTTACAAATAAAACATTTACCTGTAGTTTCGTTGGACGTCGAAGCATATGAATAGCGTTGGTAACCTGAATTTATTTTGCGCTGATTTTTGGTTTTGATTTTCGCGAAAATTCGTTTTTTGTATAGATTGATTAGATTTGGAAACGTCATTTAAAGCTTCTAGAATGAAGCATTTTCTGGTTAGAAATTCTAACAAATCTTTTAAAGTAGGTAGAAAATGATCTGATCGTTTATTTTCCCATTCACGTTTCGTTTTGTCGTCAAGTTTCTGTAAAATTATTGCAATCAATAACGTGTCCCAATGTTCAACGGGTAATTTAAATTTTTCCAGAGCCAATTTATGCTGATGTATGGTAGAAGTTTTCTTAAAAGTTATGAAGATTCTTTTGAAATTGTCGGTAAATTAAATAAGGGATTGTTGACGTGATGATTTATTATCGCTCTTTTATTTTCATATCGTTTTTGCAAGAGTTCTACCGCAATAGAATAGTTCGCGCCTGTAACTTCAAGGGAATCGATCAATTTTAAAGCATTATCTTTACATTCTTTACAGCATATTTTTAGGTATAAAAATTTATGAATTTCATTCAGATCCGTTCTATTATGCACTACTGAATCAAAAATGTCCTTGAAACTGTACCAGGTTTCAAAATTTCCGTGAAAAACTAGGTAAGCCAAGATCCGGAAGCCTGGCAACTGCGCTACCAGCTCGGAGTCCCTATGGTACCCTGCATAAAGGGGCTATTTGTGAAGTTGAAGGCAAATGGCTGTCGATATCTGACCTTACATTTAAAGAATTTTGTTCTGCGATTATCTTTTTGCTTTCGAGATTTTCGAATAAAATTCAGTTTCCGTGTCTACCCTGTTTTCTTTTTCATCGGGTATCAAATATTCTAGTCGCGTTTGAATTCTGAAAAATCATCTTCAACGCTCCTCAAACGTGTTTTGATCTGGAAATGATCTAAATCTTTTCCGTTTAAAAAAATCTTGAATCTTTCCAGTCTTCCGATAATTACTTGCCGTGTGCGTGGCTCAAAGGTTTCTTCGTCTCGTGATTTTTTTTTTAGGTTTTGTCATTTTAGCGCTTTTGACTAACGACAAGAGAAATATGCGATAAATGGACAATTGAAGTAACTGATCGTGTACGTGGCAACAACAAGATTTCTCCCTCCGAATAAAAATCGACGGGTCTCAGCGATTTTTTTCAATGAACGATGAATAGTCTAGGAAAATTGTCGATTTTCAAAAAAAAAAATCCTACCCAAAAGAACTTTTCAGGGTTGATAGGGGGAGGGTGGGTGATCATAAAACCGAAAATATCAAACATTCACCCCTCTGGCGTTTTGCGCTATAGGAATTGAAAGTGCGCCATTGGCGATTACTTGGTACCTATTGATTTTACAAAAAAATGTTTCAAATAAAAGATGTGCAAAATTATTTGATCTACAATGTTTATCTAAAGACTTTTTTGATTAAGGGCCGTCTGTGGTCATAAGGGCCGTTTGAAATTTTATAATGAAAATGACAAATTTTAACCAACGTGAAAAAAATTTCTACAACTCATACAACATTTTTGCCTTATGAAGTTTTTACTCACCCCCTGCCGTTTTTCAATAGGGGTAGTTTAAAGTTTTTTTATTTTTTTACAAAAAAAATTTCCTAATAAAAGTTTTATAAGATGACATTTCCTACAATTTTTCTTAATCAACTTTTTTTGTAACTCACCCCCATTCAGCGGGGGGACACTTCCCTCGGGGAAATTTTAGTTTTTAGGGGTATATATTTTTTTTTTTCTTTTCTCGCCTTTAATGCATATAAAAAGTTGCAATTAACATTATAATAAAAGGATTTTTTTTTCACCACCTTTTTGTTTTTAGGGGTAGTTCGCCTATTTTCAACTTTACAAAAAAAATTTATTAGGAAAATTTGTTCATTTTATTATTGTGAGCAACTTTTCTTTATAACTTTTTTTTGTAAAGTTGAAAATAGGCGAACTACCCCTAAAAACAAAAAGGTGGTGGAAAAAAAAATCTTTTAATACAATGTTAATTGCACCTTTTTATATGCACTAAAGGCGAGAAAAGGAAAAAAAAAATTAATATATACCCCTAAAAACTAAAATTTCCCTAAGGGAAGTGTCCCCCCGCTGAATGGGGGGAGTTACAAGAAAAGTTGATTGGGAAAAATTGTAGGAAATGTAATCTTATAAATTTTTATGAGGAAATTTTTTTTGTGAAAAAATAAATAAACTTTAAACTACCCCTATCGAAAAACGGCAGGGGGTGAGTAAAAACTTCATAAAGCAAAAATGTTGTATGTGTTGTAGAAAAATTTTTCACGTTGGTTAAAATTTTTCATTTTCATTATAAAATTTCAAACGGCCCTTATGACCACAGACGGCCCTTAATCAAAAAAGTCTTTAGATAAACATTGTAGATCAAATAATGTTGCACATCTTTTATTTGAAACATTTTTTTGTAAAATCAATAGGTACAAAGTAATCGCCAATGGCGCACTTGCAACCCCTATAGCGCAAAACGCCAGAGGGTTGAATGTTTGATATTTTCGGTTTTATGATCACCCACCCGCCCCCTATCATCCCTGAAAAGTTCATTTGGGTAGGAATTTTTTTTTTGCAATACATGTATTTTTCGACTATTTTCCTAGACTAGAATAGGAGATATCGGCCTTATGTTTCGTTTTCATTGGTCCACCCTGTATGTAACACTTTAATACTAGAATATTGAGACGAAGGAATTCACCCGAAATGTCTAGATCTGCTATCCAGGCTGCTTCTAGTTCTAACTGATGACACATTATATTCAGCTTTAGTTTGAATTTTTATTCCAGTTCTCAATCTCAGTGTGTAATCTGATATTACTAGACATTTACTAGTGGTTGACCCCTAGACTAACATTGATTTATGTATTAAAGGAACCCAAGGTATTGTTAAGATTCCAAGTAATTTTTAAGACAATAGACTCGTCTTTTCTGATCAACAAGATGTGCATATAAATATAGAATAGGTTGTGTCGTGTTATTATTAAAATGTCAATAATTGATATGTATTTTTTTCAGACTTACGATAAGTTGCGATAACGCTGAATATGGCTGCTCACGCACTTTAGGCCTGGAGACCTTGACTGCTCACTTAAAAGAATGCCTCCACAACCCCAAAAGACCTGTTGTATGCGACCAGGGCTGTGGCCTTATAGTCCCAAAGGATGAACTCAAAGACCATAATTGTATAAGAGAATTGCGTACTCTGATTACCAAACAACAACAGCAAATGGATGGGTATCAGCATGAGGTTCACGAATTGCATTTTTTTATTATGGAGCAACGACGAGATATGCAAGTGTTGAAAGACTTTCTTAGGTCTCTAAAAATGTCTCACCCTTCGGTGAGGGCAATGGCTGAAGCCATGGAAAGGGACCAACAAGAGAGAGAAGTTTTACGTTGGAGTAATTCACTGCAAAGGGCGCGAGTTACACGATGGGGTGGCATGATATCTACCCCCGATGAAGCGCTGCAACGAATGATTAAAAGGACTTTGACGGAAATCGGGTGCCCAGATTACATTTTGGAGGATTTAATGGGGAACTGTCACGAGTGTCGATGGCCTCCTGGATTGAGCACATTGGAAACGCGCCAGAGTAACAGAAGACAGTATGAGAATTATGTTTGTAAACGAGTGCCAGGTATTTTTTATTTTTGTTTTTTATTTATTTCAATTGGAATTCAAATCAGTAAGCTTAATTTTGTTTCTACAAACTACTTGAGCGAAAAATTTTGATGTTAGAGGATTATAATAGAGGGCTGGAGGCAAAACACTAGAAATTCAAAACAATTTATATACCAACAATGATTTATTTTTGACAGCAACGTTTATTTTATTTAAGTAAAATTTGGCGAGTGACTTCAATTTTTTTTCCTAAAAGTTTATTGACCATACATTTTGTATTTTAAGGACCGATGGTAGAGGGTTTTTCAGGCAAATATACTAAAATAACCTTAAATTATTAAGCTACAAACAAAATAGATTTGCATGCGATGAAGTAGCATAAAAAATGTTGTCTTTTATGTAGGTAAGCAGGCCGTCTTGGTACTACAATGCGACAATCCACACATGAATGACGATCTGATGAACGTACCGGGACTGGTAATGATTTTTGCCCACGGAGTCGAATAGATCCTTTTTTCTGCTACATTCCTTTCCCCAAGTATTTAAATAATTTAGAATTGTGTGCTATTTAAAAAATAATGAGGATCTCTGTTTTTACTTTTGCTGAATTATAATTCATTATTATTAAATTGTGTAACTGTGATATTAATAAAAAATTAAATTTATCTTGTATATTATCATTGACGAGGATAATTATTATTATCCCATTGATACCCTCTATAGTGAAAGTTAAAAAACACCAGCACCAGCGTTGAGTGTTTGTTTATGCCCTTCCGATTATTTTGGCTGTTTTTCCAATTTAATAATAGGTCTGTTTCTGCACAAATCACAAACCAGTCAGAGTGAATTTCATTGGTTGAAACTAGTTTGCTGACTGTTTCTGACTGTTTTCAAGCAATGAAATTCACTCTGACTGGTTTGTGATTTCTGCAGAAACAGACCTAATGAGTCTCATTCTGAGATGGGTAGTGAAGGATCCTAGAGTAAATCCTGGGCCCGTATTCTCGTAACGGGGGAACAGCATTCTCTCAAGAGAACGATTGCTCTGTCTTTGTCAGTATTATGGAAATAACAATATGGGTGACTAAGACAGAGCCAATCGTTCTCTTGAGAGAACGCTGTTCCCGGTGACGAGAATACGGGCCCTGTTATGCACTGGTGAGTGAAAGGAAAGATTTGAAAAATGTAATTTTTCACAACTAAAACCGTGCTCATGCTGATAGAAAGTCAACCAGGGGCGGTATTCTCATAGTCCAAAACGCTCGGCGTTTTTAACTTGCTGACCACTTTGTGTTGTCACATTCGCTTAGCACCTGACTAAAATCGCGCGAAAGGTTTTCTCGTTTATTTAACTCTGTGCGTTTTTTGAAAGCAGTGAGTGTTACCTTTTGGTAGCTGTTTTGCTGTTCGCCTGGAAATTTATGAACTATAAAATTATTCGTGTTTTGCATGCTTTGTGATTGTCAAGTATTTTTATGCCAATAAAAAGTGCTCAACCAAATTGTTTTATCTGATTCCGGTAAACATGGCATTTACGTTTAACTACAGCCACAGCTATTGCTTGTTGAGAAAAAAAAAGTTCCCATAAACATGTGTCTGGAAATGCGTAATTTCTGAGATACAGGGTGTCAAAGTTTTTTTTAAAAAAATTGTTTTTTTAATTATAGGTCAAAAACCCCTTTCTCGATTTTCGATAAACTTGGCAGATTTCTTTGTAATACCCTAAAAGGTATCTTTTGACTCAGTTAGATTTACCGTTATATACAGTGACTCTATTACCCACAGTGGCGACAATTGCTGTCTTATTTTTGATTGGTTCTAAAATCCCATATATTTATATTGAAAACGCCGCCATCTTGTTGCCACCTATTGCTTATTTCAAATATGAATATATGGGATTTGGGTGAAGATCCATCATAAAACATGGAAAACAACGTATTTGATGGACCTAATAATAGTCATCAAATACGTCGATTTCAATTTTTTATGATAGATGTCCATTTAAATCCTATAAATTAATATTTAAAAGTAACAAGAGTTTGGGAACAAAATGGCGGCGGGACCTCTTATTGTCGCCACTGTATGTAAAGGTTTATTTAGCCACTGTACCGTTATAATGCCAGTGGCGCCCCAACGGGCTATTTCCAATTTTTTTTTCTACTTTTACCAACGAAATTTTATATATTTTTCTATTTTCTAACCACCCTGTACATGCTATTTCAAGTTTTAATAGTTTATTTTTATTTTATAAGAAGCAGAAACTTTAATGAAGAATAACTTTTTTTTTGTAAAATTGATAATAACGTGAAGTTTGGGGGATGGAACACCTAAAAAATAGAAAAGGCAGAAAATTGTTCCTGTTTTTCGTAAATTTATTTGAGAACTAGCTAATGACCCGCTGCGTTGCCAGCGTGAAAATACATTTTGAAATAATACACTTTTTTTCAAATTTTGTTGTTGATTTTCTATTTAATTTTTTGTTTTTTTTTTATCCGATACCAGAGGCGCTCGCCAGTGAGTTCAGTGACGAATTTTAAGCACTCTAGAGCGCCCAGGGCTGTTTATAGGCGTTCCAGTGTATCATCGATCTGGTTCAATTTAAGCGAACCACACTGTGTTCGATTGAGGTTGGATCAGTGCACCCTCATCAACAAAAAAATTAATACGTGGTATTAAATTCAAGATCGGTCCAGCCGTTCTCGAATTCAAAAAATAGTAAAGTTACGCCGGTTAAATGGCAAGCCAATAAGGGCGGGTATTATAAAACTAAGGCAGGCCGCACATCAAAGAAACATGAAACGTGAAACATCAAACATGAAACGTAAAACATGAAACAATAAATTACGAAAAGCGAAACCGTTTCTTTCGTGCATACTAATTGAAGAAACAAAAATAATTCTTATATTTGCAAAGTCGTTTCAGGGTAGTGAAGTGTGAAGTAGAGTGTAGTACACAATGGAAAGTGAGGACGAGGTTGTTGTTGCTGTTGTGGCGTCTCTTCTTTATCATCAAAAAGCAAAAAAAAAGGAAACGACGTTACTGGGTACATCCATACCAGTGGTGTCGCCAGGGGGGGGGCCGGGCCCCCCCCTGAAATCTAGCCGGCCCCCCCTGAAAACTTGCGCTTGTTCCAAAAGTCGCAAGAAAAAAGTCTACATCGAAAATATGACAAAATGTTACATATGATAATATACATACACTTGGCCAAACATAAAACTGGTACGCATTTTCCTATTGTGTTGTATTGTGTAAGTCGACCTTTTTCATTACCTCAACAATGAAAAAAAGAGTCAAGTCAGTCATATTCAAATCAATCATAACATAAAAAGGTGTTGCATTTACTTTTTTTCAGGTTTGACGTTAACAAAAACTGTCTGACCTGAGTTTTTCAGAACAGACTTTTTGTTGTTAAGCCTGACTCACACTAGGCAAATTTAAAAAATATATATTGCCTGTACCAGTTTTATGTTTGGCCAAGTGTACCGGGTGTCCCACTAAGGTCGACCAGGTAGGATATTATGGAAACCATAGACCTTACTTAACTTGAAAACGAATGCAGTTATTAAATCGCGGTTTGCACCAAAATGTAGATATTTTTTTGCTCTTTAAGCGCAGCAATATAAAAATAATATTATGTCATATGCGGTGGGAACTATTGACCTCGAACGAAGTGGTGTTCTTGATAACAATGAAATTCTCTTGCAAATAAACCCAAATTGAATTAGTTTGAATGAGGGGTATGGAAGATACAGCAATTTAAAAAAAAAAAAAAAATCACCAGCTTCCCCCATACTTATTACTAAAGATACGAAAAAAAGCCTAATAACCAAACTGGCGCAAAAATTGATGAACTTTTGATTTCTGTTGTTGAAACAGTATCTTAATATAGCGATTTCTTGAGAAAAGTTGAATTTTAAGCTATATCATCGTAATTGCGGCCCCTAGCGGTCATCCTAGAAACTTGAAAATAATTTCCATCAATTTCTCTTGGCCGATTTATAGCCGAGTAAATCTGTGGCCGAAAGTCGCTTAGTTTTCGAGAAAAAAAAAATTGGCGTAGAACCAAATCAAACGTGGTAGGTTTTGTTAAGCATATCACTGGGCATACGAAATCTAAAGTGCAGACATTTTCCCGTGGTCTCGGACTTTTTTATGACAAAAAAAGTAAAAAAAATATATTTTTAATAAAATGTGTTTTTTTTTGTTTCCACCGTCATATCTCCAAAACCAATCAAGTTATCGAAGTAATTTTTTTTTTAAATTAAAGTACACACTTAGGCGCTTTCAATAGTGCCTTCATTCCTCACGAAGTTTTCCCCTTTATTTTTTTCAAAAACGGAAAATCCAGGAATTACAATTTCAGGTCTTACAATTTTCACCAATCGACAAACTTTTTTATTTTTGAAAATTTTTATATACATACAGCGAAGCAAATGATGCCAAAACATGACAAAAGTTTTTGAAATTATTAGTTTTTACCCAATATATATCGTTTGGCCAGAGCGAATTTTCAATTGCGCGCCAAAATAATGCATCGCATCTCTCGCGCCATGGCTAGACAACTTGACTACTATCCATAGTACTGTGTGCTATTGGCGGGATTAAGAAATTAAAAAATATTGTTGCTGTCTCATCGAAATTCAATTTCAAACTCTGCTTTCGATGTTCCTAAAAAAAATATTGCCGTTCTTCAAGAAATGTCTGAATAATTGTCACTGCAGTCACATGACAAAGCATTAGAATTCGCCTTAGAGTAGTCAAGTTTCTAAGTGGGAGAAGAAGGAACATGGAATAGGAAAATGTAACCGTCTTTTTTTCAGGTATTTTGAGATCCAAAATAATGGCGGTATAGCTAATTCAATGCTTTACCTGTCGTTTGGTGTACAAACACCTGCTAAAAACTGGCTTCACTTTAGTTTCAAAGCAAAATCGCGTGTTCCTACTCCTTATGTCTGTAGGAGTGCGCTTTATCTGCTCTAAGGAATTCGCTAAAAAATTGGTTCTTCTACTCTACAAAAACCAAGACAAACAAATACAGTAACTAAATGACCTGCGGATAAAACTAGCAACAACTACAAACAAACCATCCTCGGAGCTTCTCCAACCGAACGCGCTTTTTATCAGAACTTTTTAAGGTAAAAATGGATTTATAGTTATTGCTGTATCAAGGGAATTATGAGGGTGGTTGATACCCCAGGGCAAAGTTTGTGGGCCCGAGGGACAGCAATTACCCGTGGATATTAACACCTGATAATTTCCGTGGTGAATAGATAATTTTATTTCCTACTGAATTTATTGTATTTTGTTTATTTTTATAAAGGAATAAACCATAAACCAAAATTTCAATTTTTTCTCAAAGTTGTACCATCCAAGGTAAAAGCGGGAGTTATGAAATAATTAACCACCGCGCGAGAGTTAAGACCCTATTAATGATTATTGTAACCAAGATATATATGGTTACTAATAGTTCAGTAGGATATAACACAATTCATTTCCTATAATTAGTAGCTATATTCTATAATTTCCTGCAGGTGTATTATGTTCAACTTGAACATGGTACAGTAGCAATAAGCCCACACCACTTATAAATGCAGACGGTTCACTATGGAATTTATCTGACGAGGTTTGAACTCCAATA